GCCAATGTTCCTAAAGTCCGTATTTACCTTTAAGATCCACTATCTTACAGTGTGCTTTTTTGTCTTGCAAAGCTATCTCACCCCTGGACTATTTATATGTGTATTACAGGCAGTTGTTCTTTGCCAAGTAGAGAAGGCCAAAGAAGACATGCTTACTAAATTGTATAGTTCTATCAGGTATGCGGTATTTTATTTTCCATTGTGGATTGACAATTTCCATATTTTCCCATTTTATATCTCTGCTTGTTATTATACTGGAAAGCTGTGGAAATCACAAATCATATGTAGTGTGGCTTTGTAATTTTATCCTAACTGATAACTCTTTTTTCCAGTCTGGAATTTATTTTTTCCTTGCAAATTTGTTATTTTATATTTGTTTCTATTGTTGGTTGGTAGTGCCCAAAGTACGACAAGGATTGAAGAGCTCCTCCAGGAGGACCAGAATGTAAAGCGTCGGAGGGAGCGCTTTTCGAAGCAGTCCTCAATTCTTTCAAAACTTACTAGGCAACTTAGTATTCATGATAATAGAGCAGCTGCTGCTGCCAGCTACTCAAATGGCAGCGAGGAAGGTAATACATTTTATACACAAGCACACCATTTTGAATTTTGTATGCATGTTCGACATTCCATTTGTCTTTTTATTGTGATGGTTTCTCCTCTTTGGCATTAAAGGGAACTTCAGTTGGTGTCTGACTGACTTAATAGGAAAATACTTATTTAGGGTGTGTATGGTTCATGGGTTAGACACAAGGAATGGGAATGAAAGTCATACACATTATTTGGTTGACGACTTTTTTAAACATAGGTATAAGATTTGATTACCCATATAATTAAAAAACTCATTACCTAATTTAAAGCAGGTATCATTCCATTAATTCAACCTGATACCTCATTTCGATGCCTCCTTACTGCGTCGTCTCTTCACATCATTGATTTCCTCATTGCATTGCCTACTCCATCAAAAGGATTGATTGCCTTGATTTTTTGTTTTGCATTTTTAAAACCTTTATTCTGATTATAGAGTCATGCATAACCAAACCAAATAACAATATTGGTAATCGTTCCCATTCCAGCCTACTAGGCTACTACCAAACATGCAAAATACTTCCACTAAAACCAATTCCAATTACCAAGTGTTTGATACCCATTCCGATTCCAATTCCCATGTTGGAACCAAACACACACCTAGATGTTTCTATAATTACAATACTAGGAATACATACACAAACATTAAAGAAATGCATTTTTTGACATCACATTACTGTGTAGCAAACTGAAGAAAATCCTTCTTGGTTTTTAATTGGCTGCAGAAAGTCCGAGATCTGCCGAACCAGCTTCACCTGGTAATGACTGGAGATCTGCATTTGATGCTGCTGCCAATGGCTCCACTTCTTTCTCCAGATCTGGATCGAATGGCCCAAGCCGCCGCCATGGTGAGCCTACACAAAATGGTGATATCAACTCGGGAGCTAATCCTGGTGGCCGCCGTACACCTAACCGATTGCCTCCAGCACCACCGCAGTCTGGATCAGGTTACAGATTTTAGATAGTGCTAAATTTTGAGGGTTATGATTCATGTATTCTTGATTCGGTGGTTGGTTTATTATTACTTATGTCGAGCTGTTTGCATGCTCAAGTATAACATTGATGGAGCGGTATACACCCTTTTGTAGATATATATTGCCATTGATGTTCTGTTTTGCCACCGTGTCCTCTGTTGCTGGATTTTGGGGTACTGGCAATGTTTCACTTATATTTTTTTTTTGTTCCTCTCCGTTGTTTCACTGGAATTGTTCTATTTTCATTGGCTGGAGACCGACATTATTATACATAGTAATAGAAAAACGAATTTGATGAAACACTTGACCTAAGTAGTGTCTATGCTCTATTTATTTGTAATGGATTGCCTGGCGTTGGTCACTGAACTAAGTTCATTTTTTCCCGGTTTTTTATTATCTCAATGCAATAACCGAAATAATATTCTTGACACAATTTCATATACTGCTTAATCCCAAACATGACCAAGATTTGGTTGTGAAATTTTGCTTTCGTAAGTTGAGTATTTCTGTAACTTTGTAACTTTCTGTTAGCATTGTGCTATTTAGATTTTGGTTCATTAATTATAGTTTTATTACCCTCTAGTAGGGGCGGGGGCGGGGAGTATACTCCCCCGTCCCCGACCCCATCCCCGTTCCCATTCTTGATGGGGAATTGAAAATAGTCTCCATCTCCACAGTACAATTGAGACAAATAAACCCATTAGTAGTTTAATTTGGTGATTTTGACACCTAACAACACATTTTTTTCATCGGATCTTTCATATCAAATTCAGAGTAAAGAAACCTTTTGGTTTCATTAGTTGCTTCAATTTGTGTATTAAAAATCAATATATCATCAACATATATACATATTATCAAATAATTGTCATAAATGACTTTTGAGTATACACACGATTATGATCCATTCACAATAAAACTGAAACTCTAGAGATTTTATGAGTTTGCATACTTTATCCTCTTGGCTGGAAACTATGCACCCTGGTGGTTGCTGCATATATATTTCATCATCTAGATCACCATTCAAGAAGATAGTTTTCACATCCATTTAATGCACAATTAGTTTAATAAGCATATCCTAAAGTGAACAATGCACATATTGGCAATCTTAGCCGCATGAGAATATATGTAAAAGAAATCTTCTCCATTTTTTTATTAATTGTTTTTGTAAAGCTTTTGACTACTAGTCTTGTCTTGAACCTTTTCATAGATCCATCAGTTTTAAGTTTCCTTTTAAAAATTCACTTACAACTGATTGGCCTACAACATTCCATTCCATAAACCAAACATGGCATAATAGACTTGACCTTTTCTATATTAATAGATTATCGGCTAATAAATTCTTCTATTCTTCCATTTACTTCTTGGAGGAGAACTGCTCCCAATGATTGGTCACTAGAATATGTTTGTATGATTCTTTTACCTGGAAATTTGGAATATGTAAAGGAGGTAGATCTTCGAGATGCTCCTTAACCATTTTATAGCTTTGGTTTATTCTGATTCGCAAACACGAACTTTCTTCTTCAACATTTTTAAGGCATGGATGTGTGGAGTGATCCTTGGGCAAAATTTTCAAGAACTGTTGAACCTGTTTCTTTGTTAAATTTTATCATTATAGCAATTTTAAGGAAAAAATGTTTAAAAAAAAATAAAATTTTTTTTGGTTGTCTCCCATGAAAATTAAGGAGAAGCACGGAAAGAAAGAAAGAAAAGAAGCTAATGGCCGTAGGTTAGTAACAATAGAAGCAAATCCTTCGGAAAATAGTGGAAGGTACAACTTTTAAAGCTTAGGGTATAAATATTTTGGGCTGAATAAGATAATAGAATTAAGGGTATAATAAAGAAGTAATCAATTTATAGGTATCACCTAACACAGTAACACCCTAACAGCAGGGGAAGGAAATTTCTCACGGTCAACTCTTATCTCTTAAGAGATGTTAGAAGTTCGAACACCCTCTATGAAAAAAATCAATCTGACGTGTACTTTATCTTTTAATTAGGCCGGCCTGATGCGAACGAAGATTAGTCTGAATATAGTACGGGCTTAAATGTGCCTCCTACAATTAGAGTCTTTTCAGGACCAATCAGGACCATGTCTATACAATTGTATGGACCATAAATAAAAAGTATATTTTTAATATACTAAAGGTACATTGTTTTTGTACGTAAAATATATTTTTTAATTAAGTATATTATTTGAATACTGAAAGTACATAATTTTATATATACGATCAAATAATGTACTTTTAGTACGTAAATAATGTACTTTTAGTATATTAAAAATGTACCTAATATTCATGGTTCACACAATAATTTGACGTTCAGGACACCTCGGGGTCTAACCTAAAAAAAGAACAAATATCTTGCACCGAGTAAATTATGTTTCTATGTAATAGCTTGCAAGAGGTAAATCGCTCTAATAATAAGACCTTGTACGATGAATTCGACCGAGAAGGTGTTGCAAGAATATAATTGTACTTGTGACCTTCTAGTAAAAGAATTATGCTTAATCTAGCATAATTCTATTCAGCTACTCCTTTTCGGGACGTTTAATAATAAATCATGAAGTATATATGGCATTATTATATTTCTAAAATATTTGTAAAAACCAATAGTAGTTCCATCACTTGGAATTTCACCAAACAAAATAATTTGTCTTGAAAAGTCAACCCTGGCCTCATGACTCATGAATTGCTTCAATTTTAAAAGGAAAAATACTAAAAAGAGCGATCCTAATATAGAAAATCAAATTCCCAATAAAGTGAAAATTAAGTCAGCGACTTAATAATCAATTACTATTTCTCCATATATGGACATCATTTTTTATTTGAAACTTTTATTTGGCTATAAATCGTTTTATAATTCATTAACATCATCTAATTATTATGATATCATATACGGGGTTAGAACATACTATTTTTTTTTTTTTAATAGGAAGTTTAATTATATAGGGATCAACTTACATGGACAAAATATTTTTACAAAAATCTTTCACTATATGAAGAGACAATATATAATTCATATATGATTAATAATTAGATTTCATTTTTCAGTTATGGTGAGATTGACAATTTTATGGTAACCAATGAACAAAAAAAGTTTTATAAAAGACGAACAATTTTGATCTTTGTAGCTTTATATTTTATATAAATGTAATGTACAAACAAACATACCATTCAAATTGTATTAGGCGTCTAGGTACAGCTCAATTGGTTCACTAATCTAAAATAAGTCGATAACCATAGCGTATTAATTGCGTAGGTATAATTGGTACAAAATTAAGTAAAACCCTAAATTTATATTTTTATAGCAACATTATTATTGGTAGGGAAATAGTTTAGGTGGACCAAAATGGATTAGATTATTGATTTGACCTAATTTCTATAAATTGAGAAGCAGATCAAAGCTCCCCAACGCTGTTACAACAAGTCATTTCCTTCTTCTTCTTCCTCCATTCTCCATTCCCAAAGGCAAAATGAGATCCAAAACCCAAAACTCCATTATTAATCCCAAGCTCATAACCATAGTCTTTTCATTCCTATTCATAGCAGTAATGGTTCTTCTAAGAACTTCATCACACCATTCCAGTCCCATCATCACAACAAGCACTGCAGAATGCACCAAAATCTCACCATCCCTAGCGGATGCACTGGTCCACTATGCCACCACCAACATCACCCCACAACAAACCCTAAAAGAAATCTCAGTTTCCCTTAGGATCTTGGAGAAGAAATCCCCATGCAACTTCTTGGTGTTCGGCCTCGGCCACGACAGTCTGATGTGGTCGGCCCTCAACCACGGGGGCCGGACCGTGTTCCTGGAAGAGGACAAGTCTTGGATTGATCAGATCAGGAGGCGGGTGCCCTCCTTGGAATCATACCACGTCCAGTACGATTCCAAGGTGTCCCGGGCCGACGAGCTGATGGGAATCGGAATGGGAATGGAGTGCAGGAAAGTGGTGGACCCACGCGTTTCGAAATGCGGGCTAGCCCTAAAGACCCTGCCGGACGAGGTGTATGAGGTTGATTGGGATGTGATCATGGTGGACGCCCCGACCGGGTACCGTGATGAAGCCCCGGGGAGAATGAATGCCATTTACACTGCTGGATTGATGGCTAGGAATAGGGAAAATGGGGATAGTGATGTGTTAGTGCATGATGTAGATAGGGTTGTGGAAGATAAGTTCTCCAAGGCTTTCTTGTGTGAAGGGTATTTTGTTGAAGAAGAAGGAAGGATTAGGCATTTTAATGTTCCCAGCCATAGAACTAGCTTGGGCAGACCTTTCTGTCCATAGATTCTAAGGGTGTATTTGATCAAGATTTTTATAAATCTTAAATGATCGAAGGTATTTGATTAGAAATTATTTTCTTTAATTATTCGGTTTTGATGCATACACTATTACTTAATTACAAGAAGGGACAAACAAAGTATGGTATTTGCACTTAGAGATGAGAATAGACCGGGTCCCAAATAAGGACCTACAACTCAGTCTAATTTGATAAATTATTGTGTACAACATAATTCACAGAATGTTGTGTGGATCATAACAAAAAAGTACATTTTTAATATACTAAAAATACATTAATCATGTATTGAATGTATATTATATAAAATAATGTACTTTCGGTATTCAAATAATATATTTTCCTTGAATATAATATACATTTTTAATATACTAAAAGTACATTATTTGTATATTGAATATATATTATTTGATAATATAGTCCACACAATAATAATTAGTCTAATTTTCACTTAGCTCGACTCGACATTTTTAATAAAAAGGCCAAACTTGACTCTTCATAAAGGCCCATTTAGGTAAATAGGCCAAATCAGTATTTTTAAGGCTATGTTGTAGGGGCATACATGCCTAAACGGTTAAAAAAGGCCAGACTTAACTCAACATTAAGCCCCATTTAGGTAAATAGGCCGAATCAATATTTTTACAAACGTTATGCCATGGAACCGTGTTCACCATGGCACCGTTATCTTTTTTTTTTTTTTTTTTTTTTTTTTTTTTTTTTTTTTTTTTTTTTTTTTTTAATTACGTGACTGCCTACACATTCACTTTGGAACCATGCCTACACATTCACTTTGGAACCATGATATTATGAATTTTCTGTTATGAGATTATGAATTTTCTGTTATGAGATTATGAATTTTCTGTTATGCGATTATGAATTTTCTGTTATGAGATTATGAATTTTCATTACATTCATAATTTCGGAGTTTCGGACATTCATAAATTATGAATTCATGCATGCACATTCACTTTGGAACCATGCCTACATATTCCCGTCCGAAATCACGGACATTCATAAATTATGAATCCATGCCTGCACATTCACTTTGGAACCATGCCTACACATTCACTTTGGAACCATGAGATTATGAATTTTCTGTTATAAGATTATGAATTTTCTGTTATGAGATTATGAATTTTCAGTTGTGAGATTATGAATTTTCTGTTATGCGATTATGAATTTTCTGTTATGAGATTATGAATTTTCATAAAATTCATAATCTTATAACAGAAAATTCATAATTTGATCAGTAACGCGCCGTTAACTCCACATCCGCGATTTTTTTTTTTTTTTTTTTTTTTGCCTAAAAACGACGTCGTTTTGACTTGTGTTCACCATTCTCGGTGAACACGATTCCACGGCATAATTTGCGATATTTTTACGCAAATTATGCCGTGGGAATGTATTTACCATGCTTGGTGAACACGATCCCAAACGACATCATTTTTACCATTTTTTTTAGTTAATGTGCTGTTAACGGCGTTTTGCATTCTATGTTCAGATTATGAATTTACATTTATTAATTATGAATTTTCTGTTATGAGATTATGAATTTACAGTTATGTAATTATGAATTTTTTGTACATTCATAATCTTATAACAGAAAATTCATAATCTCATAAAAGAAAAATATTTATTAAATTATGAATTTTCTGTTATGAGATTATGAATTTACAGTTATGTAATTATGAATTTTCTGTACATTCATAATCTCATAACACAAAATTTATAATTTCATAAGAGAAAATTCATAATCTCATAAAAGAAAATTCATAATTTCATAACTGTACATTCATAAATCCATTCCTGCACATTCATAATTTATGAGTGTTGAAAAAACTTGCGCGAAGAGGAAGTGAAACCGCAAAATGTGAATATGAAGAAGAAAAGTCGCGCTGTTAATTAAAAAAAAAAAAGATTGGTGGAAGATAACGATGCCCGTAGGCACCGTTACCGTTTGGGACTGTGTTCACCATCCATGGTGAACACGGTTCCATGACATAACGATTGTATACTTTTAAGGCTATGTTGTTGGGCATACATGTCTAAGAATTGTGGTATAGTCTGAGTTGTTTATTGTGCAAGATCTTATGACTAGGATTTAACATGCGTTACAACAAGCTTCCTTATCGTCGTATTTCTTCTTCATTTTCCATCGCCGGTCGGGGGTTGTCTCGCCATGGCTTCAGGTTAGTACTTTTCATTATTATTGTTTTTTTTTTCTTCGTTTCATTAGAGTGTGGTTTTGTTAAGGTTGTTAATTAGGGCGTGTTATTAGAGTTTGTTTGTGTTGTGTTATGTTGGGCTTTTGTCGTCAATATATAATAGTTTCATTTCCAGCAGCGTTTGTTGGTGTTCGTTGGTCTATGAGGATAGGGTTAGGAAGGAGTAACTGTGCATTGATGCGGGTGGAGTGGTGCATCATTAGTGTGGTGGGGGTAGTGGTGTGTCGTTGTTGAGGATGGCGGAGTCAATGATGGGGGTGTGCATGGTTGCGTTGAGTGTGGTGCATAGTGTGGGTGTGAGGTGTGCATTGTTGCATTGATTGTAGTGCATATATCATGGGGTATGAGTTATTGGGGTGGTGTGTTGTGTTTGTGAATGTTAGTTGTCCTATGTGTTTCATTCAGGTTTGGATGTTGTTGAGTTGGATACAGGTGTTGGAACAACTATGGTTGTAGCAGATGGTTGTCAAATGGAGATTTCACCAGGATCAACGAAGTACTGTGCTCTAGAGCGTGACGATGCAATCAAGCCGCACGAGGATGAAGTTAAGTTTTATAGGCAATACACGGGTGGTTGGGTTTGATGTGAGGCATGTTAGATATAGAATAATCTAACTATAATAAACCATAGTATACGAGAAACCTGACCTCGTATGATAGAGGAAACGTAGCCGTGTTGATCTCCAGCCATAGTTGATGTTCCTGTTGTATTGCCTCTTAACGGTAGACCGTCAGCCATGTTTTGCCTCAGACCTGACTCAGAACCAGAACCCTAGATGGTGTATTGGTATCTACTGAGCAGTCTGAGTACCGTAACTGAATGTGCTAACATCCATCATCCAGGATTATATTAGGCACAGAGTTTGGTTGACTAACAACTACTAGTTATTAAGTCCAACCAGACCACTTAATAAGCCTAGTCAACTTGCACCACTTAATTAAGGCCCTAATATATAATATATAATATATATTATAAGGGAAAATCTTACAAGGCATAGTATTGTTAACAGAAGTAGGGATGATGAGATTTCTTTGAAGTATATGGTTTGCAGTAGGGAAGGATTTAAGAATAATCCTGCAGTGGTTATGCCTACTATAGGTGATGGGGATGATGTTGGGTCTATTACACAGAAGGGGCATAGGATTTCTAATAGGGTAGGGGCAAGGCCAAAGTAGTACTTAAAAAGGGTATGCATGGTGGTTTTGTTGTCTTTTTTAGGAGCGTCATAACCATTGTTTGTGTTTAGAGTTGTCTATGTTGTTTTTGAAGGTGAACCATAAACTTGAAATTGGGCATCAGATATTCGTTGTTAATTGTGTGAAGGAAAATATTGGGCTTGTTAGGTTTTATAGGTTGTTCAAAGATATGGTTGGTGGGAATTCAAATGTAGGGGCAACTAGTATTGATTTCTGGAATTTCAAACGTGATCTCCTAGAATATATTGTTGACGGTGATGCACATTTAGTTATCGATATATTCTTAAAAAAAAAAAAACAAGAGATTTGTTCGTTTTGAATATGATGTTGGTGAGCATGATAAGTTGCATCGTATTTTTTGGGCTGACCTTGTGGTGCACCAGAATTTCTCGTTCTTTGGGGATGTTGTTTCTTTTGATGGTACATATTGCACAAATAGGTATGTGCACGTCTAGTGTCCGGGTTGTGCATTTATGCGGTATAATTGGTGCATTTGTGTTGTTTTATGCATGTATAACTCAATTTTGTGTTGTTTACTGGTGTTTATAACCACAAGAGGTGTGTTACATTTGCTACTGAGTTCTTAACAAAGGAGGATATAGAATCTTACGTCTAGTTGTTGGAGAATTTCAAGAAGGCAATAGAACATGTGCCAAATTGCATTGTTAAGGATCAAGATCCGACTATGAAGATTGCAGTAGCAAGGGTTTTTAATTCTACATGTCATCGTTTCTGCATGTGGCATATTATGCAAAAAGTGGGTGAGAATGTGGGCCGTGTTATGGCTAAGGATGAGGCTTTTCGGCGAAAGTTGAATGATGTTGTTTGGAATGAAACGATGTCAGTTTATGTGTTTGAACTGAAGTGGAGGTGGTTGATGGAGTATATATGGTTTGGTTGACCACAATTGGTGCTGTGAATTGTTTGAGCTACGGTCATTTTGGATTCTTGACAATTTTACGGAATGTTTATGGTGGATTAGTTCACACCATTTCCCGATTTGAAGTGGAGAATAACTTGTTTAGGAGTTTCATGAATCATCATTCTAGTTTAGTTGAGTTTTTTTTTATGCATTTTGAGAGTGCAATTGATGCATAATGAGTCAATGACATACACAGTCTAAGCTCAATGCTGATTGTGAGGGTTATTTTTAGATTTTAAGACACTGTTGTTGGAATTTCATGTTGCATCAATGTACACCATTAACATTTTTTATGAGGTTCTGGTTGAGATTTTTGCATGGTAATTTTCATGCAGTGTTATTACGGTTTGTCAACGAAGGGATTCCGTTTGCTATGAGATTAAAGGGGATGGCAACCACGCATTTTGTGTTGAACACAAGTCAAATGATAACACTATTACTTATAACTCTAAGATCTTTCAAAGATTTGGGTAGTTGTGTAGTCACATATTCTTGGCGTATAAATATGCTTGGGTAGATCAATTGTATCCCTTCGAACTATGTTGTGACGTAGTGGACTAGATATGCTTGCTGGATGGAGCCACTATTGACCAAAATGTTTCTGAAGAGGCAACTAAATCTCTTATTAATCAATTATGGTGTGAGATTTATACT